ACCCTCGCCTCCTCCCCTCCCTGCCCCCCCCCCCGCCGAGTCGATGCAACTTTAACGAGCTTTCGGCTGTGCAACCGACTGGCGACCATTTTTCACGTCGTCGTGACGAGATCTTTAATCCGATATGCGGCCTCCTTAATTCATTTTTTTAAAGAGTCCCTCGCCGCCGTTACCCTTCCATCTCGCTCTTTTTCACCGCGGGCGCTCCACAGGCGCCTGCGAATAATTGATGCTGGGGAGTCGGACGAAGTCAGCCCCGGAATAATACGCGGAATGATATATTTTGTACGGATAACCGCGCGGGACTCGGCGGCTCCCGCGGAGTGATTAGCGCGGCGGCGTTATTTTTTAATTCTCGCGAGCCTATCCGGGGACGATAACGTCGTTAGTAATTACTCGCGACGCAATCGATTCGTAAATTATCGATGATACGGGCCATTATCCGTCGCTCAATTATTTAATAATGCCGCTGCCCCCTTCCTCTCCCCCCCCCCCACCGACGAATGTCGAATTATGCGGCGAGGGAGTCCCGCGTTATGCAAACATATCATTATTCGGTATTTGGACGGGCGCGAACGAGAAATTGCCCGGCGAGAGAAATATAATAATAGCGAGAGTGTGACGGGGGGGCGGGGGCGGGGGAGGGGAGGAGGAAGGGCATTATCGCCACGTTGAGGCGCGCGTGTATCCGGCATTTCCGCCGAATGGGATAATCGATGGAGCCCGATCGCGAGAGTTTCACTTTTCGTGCGTTTCAGCAAATCCAGGACATAAACAGTCAGGTAGCGCAGTTCCGAGATCTGCTCATCAACATCGGACAGCCGCGCGACTGTCCGGAGCTGCGCGAAAAAATACGGAAGCTGCGCCGCAGCTGCGTGGAGGCCTGCAAGAGCACATCTCAGCTGGTACTGCCGCACGTGAAGAGGTGAGCCCCGATCCGGAGACGGTCCCAAATCCCCGAGATTTCCCCCAACGTGATCCCCGGAGACTCGTGAAAATTTAAAAACCGAAACGCTTAGTCGTAAGAACCTGTATCCCTGTATCCCGCGTCTTATTTGAGTTTTCCTTCCGAGGACGGTATTTACGTTGAGCCGTGTACGTTTGAAATTAATAAGAAAGCTTAAATAGAGGACGGTGAAACTCAGCGATGTCGCAATAAATATTCTCACGTGCTCCGCTGAACCAAACAGGCGAATGCTTCGTGGTTGGTTAGTCGGAAAGCCATAAAGTGTCGTGACGGAAAACCAGGGTGGAAAAGACTAGATGTTCGTTGCAGTCAAGGAAGCGTGAAAGTGAGAGATGAGGCGGTGGTCGAAGAATACATAAAGCGGTCGAAACTTTAAGCGAGTGCAGTGGTTAGAAATTATGACATAGCCGAGAAGGAAACATAAATTGCGAAGTAAGAACAGAAAGCTGCGGCTAACAAGTAAATACAGTTTGAGTTGGATATCGGTTCGGTACCGACGTACACAGACGCGGAATGTTCTCCGGGTTCCCTTCAAACTATTCGCGCTCGATCAGCTACGTTAATCCGTCCGGCAGAGGATCGCTCGTTTTTCCACCGCGTTTCCTCCCGCTTCAGCTTATTCTACAATTGACGCAAAACGCAAGACGCTAAGGACCTGAGTAGAATGGCCGTCTTGTACTCTTAAGACATAAGACAGTTATTGTGCGTTACCTCAAGACAAAGGCTTAAAGCATAAAACGTTGTCTTAAAGCGGTCTTAAGAGTACAAGACAGCCATTCTGCTCAGGCCCTAAGCCGCAACACAAGAAATTGGCCAATGACAGTCGATCATTCCACTCACATTTGACTGTGATTGGTCGATTTCTTGCGTTACGGCCTAGCGTCTTGCGTCAATTGTAGAATAAGCTTTAAGCCGGTCCATACAACAGACGCAGTAAGTCGCAAGATATCGACCAATCACAGCCAAATATAAGAATAATCGACTGTCATTGGCCGATTTCTTGGGGCTTGCGACCTGCTGCGTCAATTGTAGAATAAGCTTTACAGCAGACGCAGCAAGTCGCAAGAAATCGACCAATCACAGTCAAATATAAGAAGAACAATCGACTGTCGTTGGCCGATTTCTTGCAGCCTGAGACTTGTATCTACCTTGATCGTATCGCAGTGTCGCAAGGGTCGTAGGACTGGTTCCAGTTCGACGCAGATAGGTCGAATCTATAATTTTCGACGCTACGATACGATCAATGTAGAACCGGCCTTACTCTCGCGAGGGCTGAGACTACCGCGGCAATTTCTCGGCGACGATAACGAGGACGGAGTCTCCGGTCCTATACGGCGCCCGTGCGAGAGCGACGTTTCTTTGAAATCGCTCGTCGAAGGAGCGCGAGTGTAAACCGCGGAATTAACGAGGACGTCGTCGCATATAGGACAAGGTCCCGCCGCCCTAAACTCTCTCCGGACTCAAGTTGCTTCGCGACGGCAAAGCGCGCGAGAAGGAGACAGGGGGATGGTGTGGGAGAAGGACTTTTTCTCGATTTCTCTCACATCGCTTCTGCGAGTCCCTCGCGCGTTTCACACAATGCGGGTCACAGAGAGAACGACGGACGACCGAACGACGCTCGAAGAATCATGGTCGTGAGAAAAACGTCATGTGCCGTCGCCGCCGCCGAGCACTTCCAATAACTTTCATTCCTTAAGTTTGCCGGGCGCGCGCGGGCGGCAGCTCTTTATCACCGGTTTACGCGGGATTCCGAGCCGTCTGGTCGTCTCCCGACTCGGGCGATTGACTTTGCGACTCGCCCCGCGGCGAGAAGGTCCTCCGCGAAGATCCGACATTTCCGCAATGCAATTTTAATCAACTGGATCCAATCGTCCTGTTTATCCGCCTCGCGCGGCTCCGTTGCGTGTATTTAGCATTTCCAATGCAATGACGAGCTCGTCATGTCACGCTAATAACACAACGCGAAACGATGTAATAATAAAACGCATTCTGGAGTGTGTGCGTGTGTGTGCGCACAAGGGGGGGGGGGAGGGGAAAAAAGACCGGTACGCGCGGCGTGTTTCGCGCTGCCGCTGCCGGCGAATGCCGTTGGCGCGCGGCGAAAAGAATTTATCGGAAAATACAAATTTTGTTTGCCCGGAAAATAATTTTGCCGGCTCGACAAATTATTTCGTTATTATTAATAACGAATTATTTCATTACGAGATGTATTCTGGGAGATAAACCGTTTCGCTTTAACGGTCAATATTCATGCGAGATCTTGCGGCGCACAAAACAAGCCCCGCTGCAATATCGAATAATTGGTCATGGTAGAGAAGTTTGATTGCTTCCGCATCGAATATGCGGATAGCGGGACTGCAGGTTTTGCCGCAGCGGGCGGAAAATCCTTTCTCCCGCCGACCCGTTACTTACCCGAACGCGCCCGCCGCGCCGCCGGAAAATTAGAAAACATGTTTTCGAACTACCCGTCCATCTTAATTTCAGGCATTACCGCGATGACACGGCCGCGAAAGGAAAGACCTGACAGAAACGTTGACAACGCCGTGATAACGTACATAACGCGGAGATTATTTACGTTAAAGTCGAATACAGGCGCGCGCGCACGCACGCACGCACGTGCACATGTGTATAACGCGTAGGGGTGTGCTTCGTCGAACTCGCCTGATCCAGGTCGCGGTAGCGCTCGCTCGCGGAAAGTTTTGCACTCCCGAGAGCCGGAGCTTACCCGACACCGATCAAATATTAATGCCGGAGGATTATTGCCTCCCGCTGCGTTTGTTTTCGCGTAGTTGCTTGCGCGAGGCAACCCGCGACTCGCGGCGCCCTTAACGGCAGACGGAGAAACGCCGTTAAAGTCGCCGCTACGTTGCCCCCGCAATTATCGCCGAGAATCGAACCGCCCTTGATCGTCGACTCGAGCGTCGCTACCGTCGAACGACTCGCTCTCGAAACTCTCGAGTGACAACCGGACAGATACCGGGGGCTCTCTTGCCCGAGCCGCCGCACAACATTGAATGACGAATGGCCGATAAAATGAAAACAGTGCTCGAAAGCGCAATAATTCTCGAGCGCTTTCCGTGGGCAAAGTGAAAAATAGTGAAAATCGCCGCGAAAGAGGGGACACAAAGCGAGAACTCGAAGTAAAGCGAGAAGAGGGTCGTTTTATATCGTAAGAGTCGAAAAACCGCCGACCAAAATCATGTACACCAATGCCTGCTAATGCCCGGTGGGCATTACTTTACCTTGTTTTATCTTTGTGATGCCCCAGCGAGGCCTATGCCCAAAACGATGCCTAGCAATGCCCAGTAATGCCGCAAATCTGTACACCGTAATGCCCTCAGCGGTTTACCCCTCGGTCGAGAGAGATGACACACGAGAGGACAACGCGGATATTTACGGAACGATTTCTCGTCGACCATTTCACCTCCGCGAACCGATGAACCGTGCAATTTTCTATCATCCACATTGCAGCTCATGGAAGTAGCGAGACCGCGCGGGCGGTCGCCTTCGCAATTCCGAAAACTGTGCCAGGATAACTCTCGTAATTCCCAGATTAACGTTGTCGGGTAACCGGCCCACCTACGGCGGTGGGCGGGCCCCTCGTTGATCTCTCAGAAGAAAAAAGAAAGAAAGGAAGGCGCGCGCGAATAAAATGTCACCGTGTATTTTGCATAATCGATGCAAGTGTGCGCGGTCGCGTGTAATTTCGCGGCGATACGGCGCACGAAGTGCTCGCGTACAGTGATGGACAGAATGGTTGCAGCACTTTTCTTTTTAATTGAGTTTAGGCACGTGCATTTAGATTCAGGTTTACATTCCAAAATCTTCTTCGAGGAATATTTCGCTCGACCGCTATTCCGAAGCTATTTCGAGCGTTTCTAATCCTTTTCTGGAGTAAACTTTTCCTCGGAGAAAATCCGTTTTGGAATCTTATTCGAGACATAGATTGGAAATGCTCAAAATGGTTTTGGCGTAGCCACCGGGTAAAATATTCCTCGGAGAAGACTTTCGAATGCAAACCTGAATCTAAATGCGCATTCCTAAACACACTACATAAAAAGTGTCAAAACTATACAGTGATGGACAAAATGGTTGCGACACTTTTGTTTTAATGAGTTTAGGAACATTTATATTCAGGCTTACGTTCCAAAATCTTCTTCTCCGAGGAATATTTTACTCGATGGCTATTCCGAAACCATTTTGAGCCTTTCCGATCTATTTCTCGAGTAAACCATTCCTCGGAGAAAATCCATGAAACGTAAATTTAAATTTAAATGCGCCTTCCTAAACTCACTAAATAAAAAATGTCAATACTGTACACAGTGATGGACAGAAATGGTTGTGACACTTTTGTTTTAATGAGTTTAGGAACAT